TCAAATTTGTATAATTTCCTTAATTATCCAATTCCCCTTTTATTTTAAGTTTAATTTTGATCAAATTTGAACAATGTCCTCCTATACCAATGCATAATACCTATATACCTTCAATTCCTCTTTGAAAAAAATTGTATTTTTCAATGCAGTCTCTCAACATTGAATTTTATTCAATTAGGTCTTTTGGTTGCAACTATTTGTAAATTCTTTCTTCTCACCCATTTCGTAACTCCTTTATACTCACATCAATATTTTTCCTCAAAATCCATTTTTTTAGAAAATAACATTCTAAATCTAATATATAATTTTAAATTATATTTGTTTTATTAAATAACGTTGCAAATCTTACTTACACATACTAAAAAAATATGAAGATATATATATATATATATATATATATATATATATATATATATATATATATATATATATATATATTAGCACCATAATATTAAATAATTACATTTAAGTTTCAATAGAAAATTGAGCAAATGCATTTGATTTTTCTTCAATTGAATTTCATAAATTCGACTTGACTTGAAAATATTTAAATAAAATTTGAATTATAAAATAATATCGTAAAATTTATTTACTCGAATTTTTCAACTTGACTCCACTGAATCAAATACTTACCCCTAATTACTATAACTTTTTCATAATCGTTGTCTAAAACAATTCACCATGATCCATTTTCATACGAAAAAATTGTTTTAATCGAAACAAAATGATTTTAAATATATGAAGTGATTCGAGTTGTCATCACTAAACACTAGAGAGAGAAAAGAACAAAAAGTGTAAGGAATTTACCGTATACAACTGAAGGCATGTTCATAATCATGTTGTAATTTATCTTTGGAATAAGGATCACTTTTACTCCTATAGTAGACCTAATTTATCATTTTTGTCTCTGTCGTATTTTCGAATAATTTAGCCCTCAAAGTTATTAATTGTATCATTATATACCCTACCCCTAACATAAAACCCTAACTATAATCTCATAACCTCTAAATCCTAAACCCTTGTCGTAACATTTTTCGAGAAAAGATCGATATGACGTTTTGAAAAAAATATAAGTTATGAAAAGATGAGAGTCACCGCCAATCATTTTTAATGTGAGATTCGAACACCTGAAATCAGGTAGTTTGAATAAAATATTTTATTTTATCAAAATACCAAGTTTTGATATGTGAAATCAAAACTTGGGTTCGAGAGTCAGTTACGTGTGGGGAATGATTAGCACCCCCATAGCGCCCAAAATTAATACCAGTCGATTATCATATATTCTAGAACTGGAAATTTTGAGTTTGGAATTTTATTTAATTTAAAACACTATGTATGCATATTTTAAAAAGGATGTCGATTTATCAAGACCAATAACGACCACCCAAGCACAAGCGAAAGTTTCGTTATCAACCCTAATAAATGAACAGTGTCTTGACAATTTTAAAATCATGATGTGGGTTTTGAAAAGGATGTTGATTTACTTCGGGAATCAATAGCGGTCGCCCCCGAGCAAAAGCGGGAGGTACACTACTAATCCCTAGTGACCAGATCGTAAACATACGCCTAACTTATGGTACCCCATCATAATTTGACCATAAACTAGTGACTGGAATGCAAATAGGCGGGTACAATATAAGGACCATTTCGCGAATAACCCACAAACTTTGCTAAACACTCTAGATATTTTCTATTTTTGGCATTGTTTTTAAAACCGGACCGTATATTGAACCGGTGAAGGTACATGTTCACTCGTTCAACCGGATTCAACCGCGGTTGAACCGGATTTTATATAAAATAATATTTTTTATTTATTTTACATAATATTCAAAGTAATATTAATATATATGTAACACTTTTTTTAAGTTTACAATATTAAAAGGTATAAAAATATCACAAGTCATAACATATATAAATTAAAAACCATAAAATCAAGTGAAACAAAATGATTTAAATCAACTACAACATAATATTTATGGTAAAACATATTAAATAATAAATATAATTATATAACTATAATCAAAAAAATAAAATTGGGGCTTAAAAAAATCATAACAAATGATGTCATTTGGTTTTATTTTTTTAAAAAAACAATCCCACATGGCTAAGAAACATAGAAGAGCATCCCAAAAGTTTAAAGAGTAAAAATATGAGAACAAAACAATCTCACATGGCTAAGAAACATAGAAGAGTATCCAAACTTACTTCTATAAATAATAGAGGTAATTTGACTCAAAATCATAGAGCCTTTTGGTGAGCACATAGCGAACTATTCTTTCACTTTAATTGAGCTCAAATTTTAGCCTTCAATTAAACTTCTATTTTTTTGAGTTCGAGCCTTTTTGAGTTCAAGTTTTAATTTTATATTTCGAGTTCGAGTTGAACTTGATAATTTTTAGCTTGTGAGTTTTTGAGTCGAGTTGAGCTTACTTTTAAAGTTTTCGAGTTCGAGTCGAGCTCAACAATACTCGAATTTGACTCGGCTCGTTGAACAAACGACGTCGTTTGGTTTAATTTTTTTTAAAAGAAAAAAAAATGAACCGGCAGTTCAAACTGATTTTCAGTCGGTTCACCCTGATTTTATCAATTTTCAGCTGGTTCATTGTCAGTCCGGTTTTGTGAGGTAACCGGACCGGATTCAACCGGCCAATCCGATTTTGATAACCATGATTTTTTTTTTTTTGTTAAAAAACAAACCTAAAAAGGAGGACTAACCATTTCATTTTTTTTTTCTCTCAAGCCTCCTCCCCCAACATCCCACACAACCGACGACACTCCACCCCAAGCATGGTCAAACGACAACCGCACGAAGACAGCCCTCTCCACTTCCGAGCGTCAATCTAGACGCGGGTAAACAAAGGGGCCACCCAAAAGTACCCAAACCCCTTTCTCTCTCTATCTCTATTCTTCTTTCATTCAAAGAACCTCTCTCACACCTTCGACCGCCGGCGTAAATCGGCACTCCTTCATCACCGGCCACCACCCATGGTGGCCAACTATTCCCTAAACTCCTAAAGCCTAGCCGAACAGGCCCCCTTTGCTGAGAAAAAGGGCTAAACCAAGACCTAGAACTAACTAAAACTCAACCCCCATTCCAAACGACCTACATGGCTCTCGGCCACTGACCGCCTCACCCCGACGCTACTACCCCTCGCAGGCGAGGGCTCAGGTTGCTTATCTTCCCACACTATTTTGTTTTCATTCATACACACCAAAGAAATGAAAAAACCGAAAGACAAAGCAAAGGACTCCCAAAATACCTTTTACAAATTTTTGCTTTCAGTTGATTTTTTTTAATTTGCTTTTTTATTGCTTGTGGTCTTTCATATTACATTTTCATTTGGGTTATATACTCATTTTACAATGTTTGATGATGATGAAACCCTAAATAAATCCTATTTTTGTCTTCACAACATCTTCCTTTTTTTGCATAATTGCTAATTTGGCGTTGAATTGATGTAGGGGGCAGCAGATGGCAGGAGGCAGTAGCGGATTTGAAGGGATTTGCATTCTTTTATTTTGTTGTGTTTGACCTCTTTTTTGACTTGTGTATTATTATTTTATATAAATAATAAAAATAATATATATGGGTGAAAATTGGTGATTATAACCCTAAACTTTAATATTTAACTTAAAATCTTTAATTTAAGGGTTTAATTTAAGGGTTTAAGTGAGAGATTAAGGTATAGAACGATGTAATTGAACAACTTTAATGATTAAATTAATATAAAAATATGATAGTGATGAAAATGATAAAATAAGTCTACATGACCAAAATTTATCCTTTTTAACATTGATCTTTTATACAAAATAGGGATATGGATTATCAACTCATAATTATGAGTACTTGATTTATATGAACATGTCTACTTTTATTTTGAAATTAAGACGTTTACATTAAAAATGGATAAATTACATGGTTACTCATTAAATTTTATTATCTCTCTTATTTCAGTCATTCTACTTTTAATTTTTTCAATTTGCTCACTGAACTTTAGACATTGAACTTTTTTGATCATTTGACCGTTTACTCAGTAACCGCATACTCATGTGGCTTATTTTAATAATAAAACATGTCACACGTTTACTCATTGAACTTTATTTTCTCCTATTTTACTCATTGTATTTTTAATTTTTCCAATTTTAATTTAACGGCTTTAGAAATTTAACGGTCGAGTGACAAAAAGTTCAATATCTAAAGTTTAGTAAACAAATTGAAAAAAATTGAAAGTACGGTGAGTAAAATAGAAGAGAGAGTAAAATTCAATGAATAACCGTGTAATTTACATTAAAAAATAATGGCCAAGTTAGAGAGAATTATGGAACAAAATAATGTATTATACCAAAAGCTGCATGCTGTTTTTAAGCAATGGTCATACTCATACATGCTAATCGTCAATAATTTTGAGTTGAATTCTTGGAAGGACGGACTGATGTAAAAAAAAATTTTGAAGGAAGAATTTATGAAATTTTATACGAAAAAAAATAAATTATTAATAGAGAATAAAAAACTTAAAATATAAAAAAATTAAAAATTTTGAGCGAGAATTTGAAATATGGGCCTTATTGGCCCAGATTTGCCTCTCCTATGTTTTCTTACTATTTCAGACTCAAAAGCCCCATCAAACATCCAACTTAAATTCAAATAACCTTAAATATTTTAATTTAATCGCTTGTTCAATTTTGATTTTTTTTCTTTATGTTATAGCTTAAGTTATTTGTTTTAAAAATATATATAAAGATAATGCAAAATATAAATACCATTATAATTAGATGGATAGTTTTTTAAAATATTAGTTTTAAGTATTTTTCAACTATATTAATATCATAGAAACTTACTGTCGACACACATTTTCGCCCTTATAAATGTATCGTAGGATGCTATAATTATATAATGTATATTTTATGCCGTTACGTAATATATATATATATATATATATTGTATTATTATATACACGTTACATATTATTTTACATTAACTTATATTATATATACACACATTAACTTGTTTTATATGGATACATTCAGGTCCAATAATAATCAACAATAGGCCTAGCAGAAACCCAAAGCAGTGATCCAACCCGTTGATGGCCTAGGACCCGCTCCAAGTTAAACCCGAAGATCAAGGTTTCCAAAAACCCTACCACGTCGCATGCCCTAGCCTCTTCTCCATCAACGCCGTAACTGCTGAAGACTCCTCACCCCACGGCCGGTTTTCTCGGAGCACCAAGTCAAATATCAGATCAGCATCGTGGGACTCCAAACAACCGAAAAAAACAAGAATTTTAGTTCGAGTAGGGGTCTCTAAAAATAGATTTTTTTACTATAAATATATGTACGCATGTAACACAAAAGGGGCGGCGAGGATTCGAACTAAAAAAAAAATACAAATCCAGACGGAAAAAAGAAACTCATTCGAAAGAAAGGAGATAACTTACACACCGGCAAAAGTTGACCACCGCTGGTTTCATCGGAGCAAGGAGATTACCGAAATACCTGAAGATCATTATCAGCGACGACACGAACCAAATTAGTATACCTAAGCCGCAACTGATTTGGTAGATCCTTCACTTGCCCATAGTCCAGTAAGGCAACCTAGCATGTGGACAAAAGGTAAACAGGTTAAACAAGTTATATGGCAAAATATATACAAATACAAAATGGCAAAAACGGCTATAATAGAATTAAAAAAGAAAAGCTGTGAGAGCCTACTTGCCCCTAATCCTTTACATATCAATATATTCCCGGGGTTGGGGTTTCTTCCTTCGGCAGTAGCAGGGAGAGTTGCTTATTTTTATTGTTAGAAATAGAGAGTGGAGAGAAGGAAAAGAGAGAGTAACGACTGAGGGATTTAGCAAATGGGAAAATAAGGGTTTCAAAACCCTTAATGTAGTATAAATACAAGATGAAACGTCGTTGTTTTGGGCCTTAAGGTTTTCATGTCATCGGCGCATGGGTGAATCACACAGTGAGGGTCTCTAGTTTGTAAAAGTTTTATTATGGTCACTGAATGAAGAGGTTATATTATTATTTCAAGCTAGTTATTTACTTTATGATCCATTTTAGTCACTATTAACATGTGTAGTATTTTTCTTCTTCTTTGATTTCCTTTAATATTTTTAAAATTTTAAAATTATTTCTTTTATCTTATTTCATGATTTTCTTTGATTTATTTCTTTTTATCTATGTTTATTCTATTTTTTCTTTTGATTGATTTATTTATTTATTTATTTTTTTCTTGTTATTTTTATTTTTCTTATTGTTTTATTCTTATGCTTTTATCTAACATTTTCGACTCGTTAGAGGGGTTCAAATCGATCAAAGGTAAGAAATTCGAATCGAATTTTTAAATTTCAATTTAACTTTTCAATTTTTGCAATTAAAGATAACCGACAAATTAATTGGTACCGAAAGAGGGTTCAAGGGTGCTAATCCTTCTTTGACCGTAACCGACTCCTGAATCCAACACGTTTATGGTAAAACGCAGATCAGGTAAGATGGTGTCTGACCCACCTAAATGTTTTTAAAATGGTCGGTGGCGACTCTAACCCAATATTTCAAGTCGTAGCCCAATTCTGGGCCCACCCGAAAGACAGTCGCGACAGCTTGGCGACTCTGCTGGGGACATGTAAGTGAGTCAGGCAGAAATTAATTTCCAGTTGTATTTTTTAGTGAAAATTACAAGTTTAAATTTTAATTTATTTATTCGATTCCAATTATTTATCTTTGATTATTTTTTCAAGTAAATAGTTGTACTGACGTTTTTTCAATAATTTTTGATTTTTTAAAATCTTCATCTCAGGCTCTATACCCGAGCTCTGAACCCGTTTTAAGTGGGGGTGAAAGCGACGCCTTCGTGTGAATTTATTCACCGTATGTGCCTAGCAAGTAACCTTCAGGATTCATATACTTTATGCGTTCGTGTGAATTTATTCTCCGTATGGGTATAAGAGAATCCCGAGTTTAACTTAGTCCACATAAGCTTGTAATGGGCTTAGGACTAAGGGTCTGGCAAGCCCAAGGAGGCACTAGCAAGGAGAACTCGGGTACCCTCTTTAAAACCTAAACCGGAAGACTACAAGGAATTAGAGCCTACCCCAAAATCTCATTTCAAACCCTAGAATGCATGAATTATTTCATGCTTTATTTTCTGTTCAAAGCATGCGAACTAGACAAATATGCGGTTAGGATTTGTTTGAAATTAGCATGTGGGATAGAGATCATGTTCGGGTAGGAATAATAAGCATGTGAGGTAGATATCATGTGGGGTAGGATTTTTCATTGTTATTATTGTTTTGATTTACCTCACTAGCTCTTTTATTTTTGTTCTATTTTACTTTGTTTTCATCATTCGCATCATTTAAAAGAGGTGTTGATCCACCAAAAACGTGTTTGTTAAACATGAATAATATGTATTAATAAACAAAGGGGTTATAATACAAAGAGATGAAAAGCTCAGAAAGTCTAGCCGTGGTCAAAGAATGCTCAGGGGCAAAGGTGCAGGGGCAAGACAGGAAAAATGTTACTGACCCGGAGAGTCCTTTCGAAGGCTACGAGAACAAGATGGCGAAATCCTAGCTGACCTGGATGCCATTGCTGACGAATTCAAGAAACAAGCCGATAAACTTCGGATGGAGGACTTCAATGGCACTTTCGTTAGAAACAAGCTCGGCAGAGAGTGAAAGTTGGAGATGCAGTCTTTCGAGACCTTTTTTTTTGGGTAAACAGCTCGTCACTTGCACAAGTTTAGCTAAAGGAGCCGGAACAGTTCGGCAAGATATTCAATTGGTGACAAAAAAGACAGAAGATGAATCAACTTGTCAGCAGTTGTTCGGGATCTATACCATCAAAAAGTTTTTTTATCTCTTAAGACGTAACACTTTTGTCCCCAATAAGGATTATTTACAATAACAGACACATTTTGTGGATCAATGCCTCGAACATTTCATGCATCATGCATTCTTGCATATTTCACATATTTTTTGTTTTTTTTTTCATTCACATGAACTAACAAAATATGTCTCATAAAAAAGGGTACAAACACTGGACATTCCACCTCAAGCATTGGACACACCTCATCCACATAACACTTGTTCAAATGGAAAAGAGCGGGAATTTTTCGATGAAAACAAGGACACTCCCAAAGCATAAATTTGTTTATCTGAGAGTACATCAAAAGGAGCCCCGTTTGAAAAATGGGGAGCAAGTACAGATGAAGGCCCTAATCCCCGACATTCTAGAAATAATAATGAGGCTTTATTCCATTTTGCAGCGTCCTGTTTGGACTTGTTTTTTTAACCTTCTCATATTTCTTTTTGTAACTTGTTTTTGAAATTTGACATATTTCTTTTTTATGAAGACATTTCAATGAATTTGTGCTGAGCATTGAATCGAATTTATAACTTGAAATTCTTTGAATATCAGCTGAATTAAAAAACTTTGTAAATGATTCAGAGTTACATATTTTTGACAAAGTAACACGATTAAAAGACGATAAAAAAAGGGCTTTGACCTTACCCAGAATATACAATCGAACACCATATCCTTCTCTTACAAGAACCGATATAGCATTCTCCTCTCATCAGGGTATAAATAAGAGGCTTGGCATTTAGGTGTGCATAGGTACAGACAACATCGGGCATCTTTTGCATATGGGAATTACTATACTTTTTGTTTAAGACATTCAATGATGATCATTATCTTCACATATGGAACAGTCGAGTAGGTGAATCTAGTTTAGGCCAGTTGCTTGGAAATTGAGCTCTAAAGATGAGATTCCTTGAGTTTCAAAAAACACCTAGACTATAACAGGTTCTTCTTAACAAACTTAAGAAATTGGACCCGTATACCCAGATTATAATATTATATATATACAATAAAGCTTGAGCTGTTCCTCTAAAGCAATTGGTTAAACGCCCCGACTTTATGGATAAGATTCAGCTAGCCTGATAAAAGGTGATTATAATGTACAATAAAGCTTGAGTTGTCCCTCTAGAGCAATTGGTTAAACGCCCCGGCTTTATGGATAATATTCAGCTAGCCTGATAAATGTGATTATAATATCTATACAATAATATTGAGTTGTCCCTCTAGAGCAATTGGTTAAAATGCCCCAACTTTATGGATCCAGCTAGCCAGACAATGGCAAATTAAATAAGGAGTTTCGGTAAAAATAGAATAAGGGAGTTAAGGAACACCTGTTATAGTCAAATTCACACGAGCACTTAGGAATTTAATTTTTAGACCGATATTTCTGCACTGCCTTTGTTAGAGGAGCCTACGAAGCTTGATCAAATGGAAGATTTCAGAGAACTGAAACAGAAGTGTTCTAAAAGGTCTAGCAATTGATTTTGTTAGTTGTGTCATTTTGTTCGCCTCCGATTAAAATATCAAACCAAGAAAGAGGGGCAAGCCATGACCGAATTGAGGAAACAAACCTTAGGATTTAGGTAGCCCATCTCTAAACCAACTTTTCGATCTTGATATTTGTCAAAGATTTGCATCTATCAAAGCTTAAAAGAGAATTTGATTATTTTAATATCCAATGAACTCATATTTTATGGTTTGCTTCAATTGTGAAACCTAGAAGGAGGTAATATTTTTCAAAATTTTGAAAATTCAAAGGAAAAAAACATTTTCAAACAAGATAAGTTCTCTGGAAGCAAATCTTGGAATTCAACAAATCTTTCTCCGAAGCTCAAGATTGAAGCTGAGGCAAAGGAAGCTATTTTTTGGGGCAAAATTTGATAGGGGAATGAAAACAAGTTGTCTGGGGTTGAGGTTTGCAAGAGTACACCCTGGTGGAAATGAAGACAAACTGAGTCAGGAATAGATTGAAGAATGCTCACGCAATTATTCCCTTCATAGATCAATATTCTGTACATCGGATTTAAGCATGTTGAAGAATCCAAGATCAAGAATCAGAAATTCAAGATTCCAGAATCAAGAGTCATCAAGATTGACAACCAGAGATTGAGATTTCTCTCCAAACCCTAAAATAACATATTTTACATATACATTTTAGGCATACATAAGAGCATTGCATCCATAGCATCGCATATGTGCATAATGTTGCAGATTCATAATAGAATCAATTTCAACTTTACAACGAAAGAGATGCAACTTTCAAATGTGGAATTTAACTTCACAATGAAGGACATCCAATTAAAAGCTCAATTTCACAGTGAATGAGCCATCCACGATTTCAACTTCACGAAGAAGGATATCGTGCCCGATGAAGTGATTTAGTGTCACATCAAACATGTCATCCATGGATTTGACTTCCTTAAGTCAACGATTAAGAGCTTCTGAAAGGATTTCTTTAACATATCACCTTTGAGATTGTTTCTCTCGAAACAAGGGGTTGTCTCGCTTGAGACTAATTTACTCAAAACAAAGTTTTATCTCTCTTGAGACAGTTTCTCTTGAAACAAATTTTGTCTCTCTTGAGACAGTTTCCCTTGAAACAAATTTTTTCTCTCTTGAGACAGTTTCCCTTGAAACAAAATCTTTGAATTTGTTTTCCTTAAAACTAATTTCGTCTCCTTTGAGACAGTTTCTTTTGGAACTAAATTTCGTCTCCCTTGAGACAATTTCCTTTGAAACAAATTTCGTCTCTCTTGAGACAGTTTCTCTTGAAACGAATTTTGTCTCTCTTGAGACAGTTTCCCTTGAAACAAAATATTTGAATATGTTTTCCTTAAAACTAATTTCGTCTCCCTGGAGACAGTTTCCCTTGAAACTAAGTTTTGTCTCTCTTGAGTTTGTTTCTCTTGAAACAAATTTTGTCTCTCTTGAGACAATTTCCCTTGAAACAAAATTTTGTCTCTCTTGAAACACCAATATTT